TTCAGAACCGTTCTATGAGCCACTATGCCGCGCCAAATAACTATACTATATACTTCTAGTTTTCGAAGCTTGCGAGCCTGGTTCGAATTCGTGCGATACTATAAAGTATTATCCACTCTTTAAGCTGTGGATGCGTTATAAGAGTAACTGTCAAACCCTTATCGTGGATGGTAGGTGATAGTATACTGCTGACCGGCTGCCTTCTCTCTGGTCAATAGTTCAAAATTAGGGACGACGGGAAAATAGGCTTAGTAGCTTTGCCATAAATACAACACACATATATATTAAAGATATATGATAAATACTTTGAAAAATATTATCCGTGTCTCGTGAAACACTTGAAATGAAAAGTTTAATGTTAATGGCTATCAGAAAACGTAGTTCATATCAAAGAGAAATGCATAAAATGTTTTAGATATTAACACAAGTCTACAGGTGAAAGACTTCAAACATAATTTGAGCTGAATTTCACTTATTTTATTGATCTGTAAAAGAGAAGATAATGTGCGTACTAAGATATAGATTTATCATACTCGTTTCCTCCATACACTTAGACCCGTTAAGTTGTTGAAAATAAAACAAAACAGAATGACTATATACATTATAGTTATATATGATTAAGTTGTTATTATTTTATCTTATGGCAAAAATCAATCACAAAGTACACAATGGGCTATCCATGATCTGCCTATCTCGGGTATGGAAACCAGACTTTTAGCGTTATAAGCCATCAAATTTGCCGCTGAGACATCGGGTGTGTGTGGGGGAGGGGGTGAAAATATTGATAAATCAGTTCTTAAAGGATAAAGAAATACTTCACAACTGTATTGACAACTACAACTTATTATTATTTTGAAAATGATTAATATACCTGAGATCAAATATCCCGTGGTAATGAGAGTCAACATAATCGACATTACCTAATATTTAAATTCTAACAGATGCGGATATCAAAAGTTGGAGTCGACGCCATATACAACGTTCACAGAACTTCTTACAAGTACGGGCCAATTGCAACGATCATCTGTGAGTATTTTCAATTGTTTATCTTAATCTGTGTAGTTTGTTGTGAGGTAGACTGCTCGCCTTCTTCCTGTTAAATTGAATTAGCAGTTTCTAAAAATTGATCATTGTCGAGCAGAGAATGAGCTTGAATCCAGTAAAACACACACACACATATATTTATATATATACATGTTGCTTGAAGAACATAAGTGATCCCAAACTCTTACTAAACTTGAAACTACTTAACAAAATGAGTGTCTGTTTAGTCTATCATGTTGATGGAAAGTGTCAGCAGTAGACTCTAGCCTTTCATTCATCTCAAAGATAGCCCCAAGTCCTATTAAAATCGGCGACACACATCGCTTCTCTTCTGAGAACTGGGAACTGTCCCAATACTTTGATAATATAAATTATGTTAATATTATCTTTATCTATATAAATATAATAGTACTGTCTGTTGTATGTCCGTGTAACTACTTCGCAGGGAGTAGACAGATCTTCACCAAAATTGGCATGGAGGTTCATTAGATCCATGCGGGGGTACATACAAATTTTCAGTTTTACATTTTGCAGTTTTTATGGACATTTTTGCGGTTTTTCCAACTACTGTTGATGGATCTTCACAAAATTTGGCATGAAGGTTTTTTGGGTCCATGCGGAGATACATGCAAATCTGCGGTTCTCACAATTACAACTTTTCATGTCCTAAGATAACCTTTCATTAATCATGAATTTCCATAATTTCAGTCCAGGGGACGGGTACTCCAGCTAGTTCCTTAATTGTTAGATACATGGTTTTACTACAGCCCCAGCAACTTGCAAAATTAAAAATATATATATGTGTTATCTTTTAAGATCTCAGAATTTT